TTTTCTATTTTATGGTTTTGGTTACTTTCTTTGTGGTTTGCTGACCCTCCATGGACTGCCGTATTTGTCATTTCATGTCCATTCATTCTGGTCGCTTTTCTTAGTCGGACCTTCTGTGTCCCTTACTATGTTTTCTGTGACCTCTACTCTTTACGCAGCTTCCAATGTGACCTTCATTTTGGTGGTGGTTTATTTCTTTTCTTTTTACTTCTTTGTGGAGAAGTGTGTTCAGCCAGCTTTCCGGACGCTGTGGCAGTATCATCAACGACCCCCTGCACACCTGCTGTCCTTCACTGCTTTTTGTCAGCTCTTCCTCTGATTCTGAGGTTTAGATTCTCTGGTGTCTCTTAGTTTTACGGTGTTTATATTTGTTTCTCATTCTTGGGTGATTCCCAAGAGGAGAATGGGAAAACACCCAACTGAGTGCCATCATTATTAAAATCGGAATTTCTCTGAAGTGTATTTACAGAGTATACAGTATGGAAAGATGTTTGTTAAAAACATTAAGTGCTAAAATCAAGAGTCAAGATTACATCTTTGGTATAACAACAACTGTGTAAAAAAACAACAACTATGCATAGAAAAAATAAAAAGATAATCAGCCATAATATAACAGATTATATTTAGGTGGTGCAACAAGTGATGTTAAGATAGAAGATTCCCAAAGATTCTATGGGCTTGCAAAGCGGGGAACCTGTCTAGGAGTTTAGAAAATATTTCCTGGGACTGGGTCCAAAGGATGAGTAAAACTCAGCCCAAGGAACATGAGTTGGAAGAGTGTTCCAGGCTGAAAAAATAGTCAATATGAAAACACGGAAGCGTGCAGCTTGCTTGGTGCCTTAGCTTCTCAACATTCTCTTTCTCACTCTCCAGGAAGGATGCTGTCGTTGTAGTTGGTATAGCTAATATGGATGCCAGAGTGATTGCTCATGAAGAGTATCCAGTCAATACCATCATCATCCACGAAGACTTTGATAACGAAACAATGGCCCATAACATAGCCCTCCTGAAGACAGACACGGCGATGCAGTTCAACAGCCTGGTCCGGCCCATCTGCTTCCTTGGCAGAGAGCTGCAGATGCTACCAGCCTTGTGGAACTGCTGGGTGGCAGGATGGAATCCCACGACTGCAGTTAATGCCTTCCTTCTTCTAGAGGAGGCTGTGTGTATGCTAGCAGTGGGGGTGACAGGGATGAACCATTCTAGGGCTTATCTTAATAATTCAAGTGGATCGAAGTTCTAGATTTGGGCTGGAATCCTCACCTGATCAGTCAAGATTCCCAGTGGTGGCCCTTTCGGTGACAATTCTTACATTTGGTCCTTTCTCTTTTAGTCCTACACCACAATTGGGAGTACGCAGGCAGCGGACAGCTTGAAATTAATGCAAAGTTATGGAGGGGCCAGGGGGCATTATTCCCTGAATGAGAGCCAACTGTCCCCTTGTCTAAGCCATCCTTGTTTTCTTTTATTCTTGGGAAATAAACAAAGAAATGTATTCTCTATAGATGTGGAGAAAAAGTGAATATG